CTGCTGGGAACCTTGCCTGCTGCCTCCTTCCCCGCAAGGGACACTGAGCCCTCCTGAGTGAGATTCTTCTTCTTCCTGGCGGGGCTGGAGACCTCATCCTTGCCCTTCACAGCTGGAGCATGACGCCTGCCGTCTGCTCCATGATGCTGCTTTCACTGCTTCTTTTTGGAGGAACCAGGGGTGACTTGGCTGGGCCCCTTCTCCCTGCTGCAGGGAGGAAGGTAGTGCAAAGGCTGGGCAGTGGAACTGTTGGTCAGGGGGGAGGCTGGGAGGTGAGAGGCTGAGTGGAGGATGAAACTGAAGGCAGGCTTTTCAGGATTTGGCAGTTTGAGAGCAGATGACAACAGCCTGAAGGACAGGAAAAGAGGCTGACATGATCTGAAAGCCAGGACAGGAGCGGGAGCCCCTCTCTTCCTCCCCACCCTGAGGTGCATGAGCACAGCACCCAACTGCTACCATCTCAGCCACGAAATCTGAATCAGACCCTGCTCTCAGAGCAGCAGCTGCAAGCGCACATAGTGACCCTGCACCTGCCCAGTGCCAGCCAAGTGCACGGCATACGCTGTCCCACGGGGGATTAGGAAAGAGTTTTAGCACATGCCCATGGTGAAGGTTACAAGGAGACCCGGAGCTAGGCCTGCCAGCCCAGGAGAACAGGAGAGCCAGCTGCCAAAATTGCCCCCCGAGCCAGCTGCCGTGCCAGACGGTTGCCTTGTGGAGTACCCCAAGGCTGCTACTGGCCCTGCTGCCATGCAGGAGCCTGGGAACAACTGGCACCGCTTACCTCGACTTGCCAAAAGGCCAGGGAGTGGAGTCAGGGTGGATAGTGTTGGCAGGGTAGGTGTGGCCAGCAAATTGCAGGTGAGGTTGTGAGTGGCGGTCACTTCCACTCGCCTTCTGCGGGGTGCTGCCCCGCAGTTATTGACATAAATAAAAACTTGGTGGTCTAAAGAAAAGAGGTTTCCGTAAGCCAAGAGGAGAAAATAAAAAGGGGAGCCCAGGGAATGGGGAGGGGAACAGACACAGACGGGGGGAGGGAAGTGGGGGGTGGTAGAAGAATCAGAAGTATTTTCAGTTAAAAGCACAAAGGAAAAAAGGAAGGAAATAAATTTAAAGAACAGAAACCCCAGCACACCATCCTGAGCCCTGGCTGCACTGCGGTGCCCAGAGGGCCACTCCCATGCTGCTGCCCGGGGAGGAGGCAACTCTGGGCCCTCCAGCCGGGGTGTCACCTGCTCCCACTCACCCCAGGGGACACGCTACCCCAAGAAGGCTGACAAGGCCACCCCGCTGCAGGGACTGGCACAGCCACCCCTCCGTCCTCAGCCCTGCACCCGGATCCAGAGGGAGGGCAGAGCAACTGCTACAGCTCTGGGGCTGAGGGGCTCTCCCTGCCCGCCTCCAACCTAGCGAGATACCCAGCATTGCCCTCATCACAAGCGCCAGTTCAGAAGGCACAAGGTGCCTACCGCAGTCTCCAGGCAGAAGCTCAGACTCACCTTTTTGGCAGAGAGCACCAGCTTCTTGGCCAGTGGCAGTGACATGGTACTGCTCAGCTCCAGAGAGGCACTGGCCAACAGGGAGGATTTCAATTTGCCAGCTTGGGGTCTTTGGGGGCAGCCAGCTTGGCGCTGGGGCCAGCAGGGAGGTCTGTGCCACTGTCCATTTCCTGAGAGGTGCAGAAGCTGCTGGTTCCTCTCTTGGTCTTCTGGGATGCTTTGGCCAGCTTCCCCACTGCGCCATGCGCTGGGCTGGCAGCACTGCTGCCGCAGGAGTCCCTCTCCAGCGTCCTGGCGTTCTCCTCACTGCCCCCAGGCTCCTGGCTGGGTCTGGGCTCCAGCAGCAGCTTGGATGAGGTAGGTGGCTGCTTGTTCTTCCAGGAGCTCTGCCGCGCCAGCTCCACCTTGGCCTCGCTTGCGTTGCTGGTGTCGCAGAAGCCCTGAACTGCTCTGAGTGCGGGAGGCAGCTGCGGGAAGGAGAGCACCTTATTGGGCGTCGGGGCTGCATCGTCAGGCAGCGCTGTGGCCGTGTAGGTGGCTTTGAGGGGCAGTTGGGTGACCGGGACCCAGCAGGCAGCTTCGGCGGAGCAGTTCTGTTCGGCAGCTTCGGCCCCATCCCAAATGTGCTGTGGGCCACAGGGACTCCAACCTCCTCCGGCCCCGGCAGCTTCTTCCCCGGCAGCACGTCTGGTCTCTAGACAAAGAGAAAGAGAGAAGTTCAGCGAGGAGAGAAGTCAAGGAGCCAAGGACACAGAGCGATACTGCCCTCCCTGACCCTCCCCAGGACCACACAGGAACCCTTGGCTCAGGCAGGATCCTTCCCGCACACCGTCCTCCCTGGCACCCACCCATTCGGAGCAGTGCCTCCCTGCGAAGCTGCAGCCCACCTGCCCTTGCAGAGCGGACAGAGGGGCAGCAGCTCTCAGCTCCCAGGAGCACTGGCTGAAAGCAGCCTTCAGGACTCACCCGGCCCATCAGCAGTGAAGACAGGGGCCCCTTGGTCACAGTTTTCTTGGCCTGATCGGAGACGCTACCAGTGCAGTCAGGCAGGCTGGAGGCAGCTTTGGCAACAGGCCCCTCCAAGCTCTTCCTGGGGCTGGGGATTCTGGTGAAGGCAGAGAAGCACACACGTTTGAGTGACTGGAACGCTCTCATCAGAGATGCACACAAGAAACAGGAGGCAGAAGCTCTGAGGAGATGAGGTGCTCTTGATCTACAGCAAAACCATGACAAGAGGCTGGACCTCTCCCTGCCACCCTCCTCCAAGCCAGCGCATGCACACAGGCATTGGGGCTATTTGGGCCAAACTCCTTCCCACACTCAGGCACGTGCTACCAGCCCTGTCCCAGATGCTAAGTGCAGGGGGCAGAGGAGCTGGGAGACACAGGGCGCTCTCACCTCAGGTAGAACAGCACGTGGGCCTGCTGGTTGAGGACCACTTTGATGTTGCTGGGGCGGACCAGGTCATTGTTCATTTGATACCACTGCCCATTGCTGGCCTGCGGAAGAAGAGAGAACAGGGTCAGGCTGTGTCCAGGGACCCTCCTGGCCTGAAAAGCAGCAGGAACAGAGCCTGTCGGCAGAGCTCCTCTCCCCAAAACCCACAGGCGGCCCAGGGCAGGCAAGGGGACTCTGCGAGAGCAGAGTTCTACACTTCCTGCAGCGGAGCACAGCCTGTACCTCCCATCCGGTGCTCCACACCACACACATCTTCTAAACACCCTCCTTTCTGCGCGCTACAGGGACCCACAAGCACCCACCAGACCCCAGCCCAAGAGAGCACCCCGGGCTCACCTTCATGTAGCAGTAGTAGTGCCCTGCGTGGCAGCTGTACTCAGAGTGCATCAGCACTGCATGGAGTCTGTACATGACAGGATCCCCATTGTTCTGAGACATGTAAGGGTGCATGTTCAAGAACTTGGGGTACCCCATGTCCTGCGGAGAGGGGATGTCTCAGGAGCCTGCAGAGCAGATGGCTTTCTTGCTAGAGCAAGAGCAGCTCAGCTGTCCTACGAGTCCCATCTCTCGAGGAAGGGGGACCCGCTCTCCCCAGGCAGAGGTCACAGTGAGGAAGATGCCACGATGAGCCAAACTCCCACCACACCGCACAGCTGGGGAAGGGCTGCAGGACTACGGCAGAGCTCGCACTGCACACAGGACCAACTCCCACCCTGCTCTGGGCAGCAGGGCCTCAGGCCAGTAGACAGCTCCACCTCTGGATTGCTAACCACTCACCTTTATGATTTTGTCTCCACCAAAGTCGCCAAAGTGCTTCAGCAAGAGTGAGAACATTGGAGGCTCGATGGATGGTGAAGCGTTTGCTGGCCAGCACTTTCTTCTTGCATCTACACAAGAAGAGCTCGAGTTATTCAAGCTGTTTCACCACCCAGATGATTGCCAGCCCTGGCCAAGCGGCAAACCCCACGGAAATGACCCTGCTGACACCTGCTCCAGGGCATCTGCTCATGGCTATGTCTGCTGGCCCAGGTCCTCCTCATGAGAGGAGGGAGCTGAGGAGTGGCAGCCTTCATTGCAGGCTTCCATGGCCATGTACCTCGTGGTTTAGCCATGGAGCAGGTAGAGAAGCCTTTCTACCTGCTTCTCACCAGCACACCCGTGGGCCCTTTCCTGCCCGCAGCCCCACACACTCACTTGGCACACACGTAGGCATTCTCCCTGCCCAGCATGTCTGACTTCACAAACAGCTCCAGCGTCTGCACTATGTTTGTGGCTTGCTGCAGGGACAGAGGAGAGGTCAGGGCATGAGTGGCCTGTCCACGTGACAGCCCAGCTCCCTGCTGAGATGCTGGCCCTGAGAGATAATACAGAGCATGAGTACAGGGCCACAGACTACACCAAACCCGTGAGCCTGCCACCAGCTAGGCATTGGCCAGCATGCCGCGAGGGACAGCTGCACTGCCCCCCAACACTGCGGAACCTCAATGGAGGAGTCGTGGCTCACACTCAGGCAACGGGCACTGCTGTGCCAGACAGAGAAGGCAGCGCAACAACAGAAGCTGCTTCCCTCTTGCCTGCACCATGCCTTGACACTGGCAGGTTAAGGAGCCTTGAGAGCAGTAACGGTACAGTTGCAGGAACATCCCCCACGAGAGTAGAGTTCCTTCCCACCCCTAACCCTGCCGCAGTACCCTGATCTCCAGCGCCAGGTCCAGGTAAGGCTTGTAGGTGTCCGAGACGCTCTTGCACACCGAGCACTTCACTGCAGAAGAAAGAGCAATGAGCACACCCTGGCACAACACCTGCACCTGCCGCCACCCCAGCACAGCGCAGGCAGCTGCAGTATTCTGCCTCTCCGAGTTTGGGCTCTAGGATGTCAGCACCAGGATTCACAGCCTGGCAAGGAGGAAGGCTGGCGATTCCACTATGTGCTGAGACTGCCCAGCTATTGCTAGATAGCTGGCAACACAGGTTCCTTTGCTGGTGGCAATGAGCTGGGGACCCACAGCCAACAGCTTTTTCCATCGCCACCACAGGGCTCACGATCCACAGGTACCACAAGACTGACCAACTGCAGCTCCGGAAAATTTACACGTTAGCAATTTTCTCAAAAGATTTTTACTGCAAGGCTCTCCGAGAAACAGCAGCCCTGAGAGTCACAGGACCAGGACCTGGCAGGCAGCACTCACCAAGGCAGGTAACCGCCAAAGATTTGGTGAACCAGTGTTGTGGCCTGGGTCTGGCGATCTAACCTAGAGACAGCAGCACCCGGTCTCACACCACCTCTCTGCAATGGCCAGCCCTGCAGGCCACCGCGGTGTGCTCAGGACAGCTCCCCTACGCACTCTGGCCAGCAGACAGGCTGCAGAGGGGAGTCGCAGCCTCTGCCAGTCTGCTCTCCCAGTGCCAGAGCTCAAGGGGTGGCACCAGGCTCCGATGCACACCTTCCTCTAGAAGGAACAGAAACTCCTGGCTGGAGCTCAGAGCTGGGCACTGCAGACAGAGGCAACGCAGGCTTCCCGGGACGGAGGGGCCAGGGGCAAGGTGCTCACCCACAGCCACAGAGCTGGGGCTGAACTAGCAAGCACACCTGGACTCCTCAGCAAGTGGGACAGGATCCAAACCCACAGCAGCCTCAGAATTTGGGGACAGGACCACAGCTATGCTGGGGTGGAGGAGTCAGAAGGGAGAAGGCAGACAACAGCCCAGAGCTGTGTCACAGAGGGGCAGAGAATTGGGCCATCCACCCGAGGCCCCTGGCGTCACTACGTCCCTCTATGAGTCTGACCTGGGGGACACGTTCAGCCCTCAGTCCCCTCCCACTGGCACAGGGGACCAGCAAAAGGACAGCGGAGAAGAGCAGCGACAGGCCATCAGAGGCCCCACATACTTGGCACAACCAATCAGGCAGGCCTTCTGCATGGCATCAATGGTGAAACGCAGGAACTCGTGCGCATGCTCCTGGCTGTCAAAGCGAATGTGCTGGGCAATCTCTGCAGGAGAGGGAGAAATCAGCCCCACCACATGCTGCAACACATGCAGGCCCTCCCTCTCTCCCTTGGGACAGGGACTCTGGGATTCGAGCCCGCTCAACCCAAACCAGACGTCAGACTCATGCCAGCGACGGGGAAAGCCCCACACAGCCCTTGAAGTCACCAGCAGGCTCAGTGAGTCATCTCAGAAGAGCCGTCTGCCAAGACCTGCCCCGAACTCAAAGATTCTGCTCCTGCATTAGTCACCGCTCTCCTGCATGGCTATGGGAGGGGAGGGCAGCCATCCTTACTCTTGAGGTCTTGGATGAAGGACACTGGCTTTATCGTGTTGCCGCTGTTGGAAAAAGCCTGGATTTTGTGGTCCTGCATAATGCACATCAAGAAAAAGCCTTCTTGGTAACCTGCAGCAGGAGAGGAGAAGACAGGACATGGGGACAAACCCAGGAGAGATGGAGGGAGTACAAGGGACGGGAGATCTCTGGTCCGACACAGCTCAGCCACGTGCAGTTTTCCCTACGAGCTGTGTGCTATGGTATAGCTCTGGGGCATCCTGGGTACACAGGAACCAGCACATGCCACCCTGGCTGGTGCAGCCCCAATCACAGTACCAGCCACTGCAACTCCCCCCAGAGGAGACAGCATCCACGTGGATGGAAAACAGCTCACAGGTATTCGCTGGAGGAGCCACAGGTCAGCCCTGAGGGGTAGATCCCACCAGAGCCCTACAGAAGGGGCCACATGGTCACAGCTCAGAGCAGTGCCCACCGGACTCCCTTTCAAAGCCACCCATAAACAGCACCTGCTGCCTGTACGCAGCCTTCTGCCCTGCCCTCATGCAGTCCCCACAGGCAGGGGCTCTTTGGGACCCCCAGCTCAGCCCCCAGGAAGCCAGCAGACCCTGTTGGACCATCTTAGTCCTGGCTAGGCCCAGCAGAGACAAAGCCTCCCCAGACACAAGGATGCAGATCTCAGGAACACTGCTATGGCCAGGAAAAGCAAGCCGTACGCATGAATGACTGCTCGATGGAGAAATGGGCTGGAGGGAGCAGAGAAGGCACATCCCAACACCCACACGCCCCTTGCAAGAGCCACGTGCAGAAGTGCTGGGCGCAGCACTGGGAGCAGGACAGGCAGGAGCTCCTCCTCCCTGCCGGTGCAGCCGCCCTGGCCCTGTTGCCCACCAAGCCAGGCCTCCCCACAGGTGCAGCTGTGCTCCTTGGAGGGCAGGTAGGTGGCGAGCGGTGGCATGTAGGTGAGACACTGCACCATGGAGTTGAGGAAGCAGGTGTTCCCCGGGTTGTGCAGCCCGGTGCCAATCCGGTAGATCCGCCCTGTCAGGGTGTAGCCATTTGGGTCTGTGATGCATTCATTCTGTGCAGGCACACGGCAACCATGGCAGTGGTGGCCTGGCCCCGCTCCAGCACCTGGCCCTTGCCCTGTTAGACACTGCCGCCAGTGCGTGTGGCTTGTAAAGCGGCCCGGCGGCAGCTCCTTCCCTTGCCATTCGTTCCCCTCCAACCCTTGGGACTGCCTGCCCGGGCAGGCAGCGGGAGCCCAGAAGCCCCACAGGTCTGAGTTAACACCCAGCGGGATGCCTCCTGACCTCAGCACAGGTGGGGCCGGGGGGGGCCCGGGGGAGCCCCGACTGAGCCGTCACATGGCTGAGCCAGAGGAGTGGCTCCTGCTGCTGCTCTCCCCTGCCCCGGGGCTCCCAGTGCAGACACCCCGCATGCAACTTGTGGCGATTAAAGGCACGGCCCCTCACATATACACGCACAGAATCGTTTATCCTTTATTAAAATATATCCTTTATCATAGCTGGGGCAGTCCCACTGTCTCTCTCTTCCCCCTCATCACCTAATTCGTCTCCCTTATATACTAAGAAAAAAAAAACAGTCTCTCTTCCTTCCAGCAACGATCCACATGACTGCTCATAATTCCCTTCAGCTGTTTCAGCTCTTGAATCAGCTGGTGCTCATCAGGCCACCTCTTCTGCAGGAGAGATTCTGGAAAATCTGCAGGAAGATATGATTTGAAGGCCATTTCCTTTTTAACCAGACAAATATTCTTACAAATATTAATCTTAATCTTACAAATACTAATCTTAGTTTACTAAACCTATTTTCTTTTATACAAACTTAACACTTCTAATACTTAACACTTCTAATACAAAGTTCACTTCTAATACTTAACGTTTCTAATACAAAGACCTTTCCTGTTCTCCATCACACGGTTCGCTTTCCTCTAGAACATCGGACTCTTTAATCAAAAAATAACAGCAACGTCAAGGGAGATCAAGTGTTAGATTTAGGATCACTCTACATCACTGAAGCAGGACACAAAAGAATACAGACACATCTCATCTCAACTGAGGGGGGAAACGGTTTCCTGTATGCAGGGCTCTTTTAGCTTTTTAGAACAGAAGAAATGGTGTAGTCATTCCTGATATGGGGGGGGATGCGAATCCCCACAGCAGATCTTCTCAGGGGGAGGGGAGGGCACAAATGGTGATGGTTTCACAATGGACGACCGAGAAAGTGTCTTTAGTCTCTATCGCTGTAAAATCTCATCCGCCATTGGCGCAAGTTCAGACAAATCTTTCCTATCTTTTAATTCTCCTTCCAGTATTGCTGAATCAGTCACATTTTGCAACAGCTGCTCTGCGGGACGCAACTTCTGCAGAGCCATATATACAACTCGCTAGGTAATCAATATTCCTTCTGGAACTTGTAATTGCAAAGTTTTCCTCATACCTTAAAACCTTGTTCCTTCAAAATACATTGAAATATTTCATTCAAGTTGAAAATTCTGTGACTGAGATGCCGACTGCCCCATGACTAATGTAGAAAGTTCATATAACTTCCCCGCCGCTCACCTCTGCCGTTCAGAGACAATTATGCGACATCACTTATCCCATTTCCTTTCAACAGCTTCTGTCCCCTTTCCTTTCAACAGCTTTGTAGTTCAGCAGAGGTCACCGCTGGATCAGCAACTGCCAATTTCAGGTCCCTGTTCGGACACCATTTGTGGCAATTAAAGGCACAGACCCTCACATATACATGCACAGAATCCTTTATTAAAATATATCCTTTATTAAAATATATCCTTTATCATAGCTGGGGCAGTCCCACTGTCTCTCTCTTCCCCTCATCACCTAATTCGTCTCCCTTATATACTAAGAAAAAAAAAACAGTCTCTCTTCCTTCCAGCAACGATCCACATGACTGCTCATAATTCCCTTCAGCTGTTTCAGCTCTTGAATCAGCTGGTGCTCATCAGGCCACCTCTTCTGCTTTATTCAATTCTTCTCCACACTTCTCCACATCAACTGGTGCGACTCCAGTACCTGGTAAGGAAAGACAGACATTACAGCACAGGGACCATACAGCCGGTGGCAAAACAAGCGGAAATATTAAACTCAAATATAGAATACCAGCAGACACAGGAGTAAATGGCACATATGATATAACCATACAGTAAACGAATGGGAGTCATATATGGGATTGATTAGAGGTCGGGGGGGTGTCTTTTCTTTTTCTTTCTTTTTAATTTTTCTCTTTAATATGTTGAAATTGCCCAGACTGGTCCAGTATGACATCTTAAACCTTACAGGGATACACAGTATATGAAAACGCCCCTGGAGGAGGGCTGTAGGGATTATTCCCAGCATGCTCCCAGAGCTGCGGTAAGGGGCGGCGGGTGCATGTGGGGGTGCCGCCCACGTCACGGGCAGGCAGCTCCACGGCACACGCCAGCTCTACTGCAACATGGGAATGGCTCAGAGAAAGCGGAGCCCGAGGTATGTGGGAGGCTTCACCGGAGGAGACGGATTTTCCTGTGGCTGCGCTGCCGCCTGTGCCCAGCCGGGTGCTGGGCTCCATCCCGTCTGCCGCAGCGGAGGGAGTTCGACAGGCCACAATGCCGCAGCACTGCTGAAGGCCATGGCACAGCTCAGCAAAC